CTGTCAGTTAAGAAAAACCCAGGATCTCATGGCTTCGTTGGTGAATTCTTACCAAACACTTGAAGAACTAGCACCAATCCTTCTTAAACTCTTCAAACACATTTTGAGAAGACAGAACTCTTCCAAACTTGTGTGAGTTCAGCATTACCTCTATACCAAAGTTAGACCAAAACTTTACAAAAAGGACCAAGATGTCACATAAACCAATATAATTAATGAACATATATGCAAAAATACTCAACAAAACACCAGCAAATTACATTCAGGAATAATTCAAAGACTTACACACCATGGGTAAATGTGATTCATCCTTAGAGTCAAAGGATGACTTGATACATGCAAATCAATCATTTTAACACATTGCATTCTGTACAAGAGGCAAAATATATGGTCATCCCAATAGTTGTAGAAAAAAATTTTGCCAAAGTTCAACACTCTCTTGATTTTAAGAAAACATTCAGTATTAGATATAGAAAGAATGTCTTGGAACCTGACTGATGCCAATATGTATAGCCCAGAGACAGGATCTGAGTGGCAAGAGAAGATTCCAGAGAAGTGAGCAGATGAGATCACTGTGACTACAAAACAGTGAGGACTTTGGACAGTGAACAAAGAAAATCCAAAGGAGTTCTGGATTTTCACCACTTTAGATGAGGAGGCCATCTGACACTTGGGTGTATGCATCAGACACTCTACTAGGAGAGATCAGTATGGAGACCTCCACAACTTTTATTCATCTTAACTTGAGTTCTCACAGGAACTGACCCTGAGATAAGGATTTGGTGACAATGGATTACTTGGAAAGTATGGGAAACAACAGTAGAGAATGGGGGAAGTGATTAAAACAAGGGAATCATCTACTTGATCGTGTATAATTATGTCAATTATCAAAGTAGGTAGTAACCAGGGCAAACAAAGAGAAAGTACCAAGTGCAATGTCCAGAATGATCCCATCACATGACTAATGACTTTGTAAGGTTATTAGTCAAAGACTGTTGTGGAATAACCTTTCTGTACACTGTAAAGATGTGTCACTCTGATTGGTTTAATAAAAAGCTGAATCGCCAATAGCTAAGCAGGATTCCCAGGCACAGAGGATGCTGGGAAGAATAAGAAGGGAGATTTGCCAGGAGATGCAAAGCAAACAGTATGGGCATCACAAAGTAAAGGTAACCGAGCCACATAGAAGAACATAGATTAAAAGATATGGGTTAATTTAAGTTATAAGAGCTAGTTAGAAACAAGCCTAAGCTATCAGCCAATCTTTTATTATTAATAAGAAGTCTCCATGTGGTTATTTGGGAGCTGGCAGGCGGGAGAGAAAAAGACTTGCTATAAAAGACATCATCCTAGACTGCTGCATGTTCAAGCAGAGTAGTTATCCATGCCCTAAGGCTCAGAGATGCAGATACCAATAGATGGGAGTCAGCCAGTGTTGGCTGGAAGGTGCAAAGAATGCAGAGGTATCACTGGCAATGTCTGCAGCACCCTTTAGAACCATGAAAGCTGGGCCATCTGTCCTTGAATCCAGCTCTTCTCATCCTATGTGACTTCAACAAGTAGCTGAGCTTACCCATTTATCCATAAGGATATTACTACCTTCTTCATCAGGGCTGTGAAATGTTCATTCATTTCATACATAATAGAGTCTAACTTGGACTCAATGTTAGAAGAATATCTGCCGTCCCTATTACCATCATCATTACTATTTCTTTGTAATTTGGGGATTAAGACTGCCTGGATCACTCATTTCAGAATGTTCATAAGGAAAAGATGAAAGATCAGGGCAGAAAACACTCCACTTTTAAACAGAAAAGCCAATGAAGAAGAATGAGAAAAAGAGATCTGTGAGGCAGGAAGAAGACCAGATAACTGAGGTTACAGAAGCTTTGGGGGAAGTATTTCAAGAGAGAGAATTGTCCTGTACCAAATGATGCTGAGCTTCGAGCACTGGACCTGAAGCCCTTGCTCATTTGGAGCAGGAGGCTTCACCCTGCATATCTGTTAGCCATCAAGGACTTCGTGTGGCACCTCCTGGTTTTGAACACCTGCATCCCTTCTTTTCTTTTGCTAATGGCATCCGGCTCTGCCCTAAGATTCATGTACCAAATACCATGGGGACCCAGTAAGCTTGCCTATTACAATGCCCTGTCCTCCTCGACTTCAGACACAGGCCAGCTCATCACAATGCTCCCAGGATTGTCGCTTTGCCATTTGCTGTAGCTGGTTGTATAATATTAGTCTGGAGTTACAAACAACCATTTTTTTCCGGCCAATGGAGAGAAACTTTTAAGTAGTAGAAATGAATCAGCATGCTCTTTCATAGATAATCACAATTATCAAACAGTACTAAGCATCCATAAGCAAAAGTCAGCCGCTGGTAACATGCTAGACACTTTGATATTGTAACTCCTTTGTTGTGCAATATTAAATATATATAATGCACATATTATATATAATATAATGAATATCCATTATTAATGTATGATATTACTCTATTTATGCTTTTCCATAAACCTTCTTTACCGATGAACCGAGGGTCCGAGGGTGAAGCAGTTCTTTCAAGGCCACACAGACGGTCACGGTCAAGACTGAAACTCGATGTAGTTTCAGCATCAGTGTTCCTAGTCTCTAGTCTATACTCACCACCCATCGTGTTTACTACAGATTCTTCCAGTATATGAAAGAATGGATGCTGACAAGGCAGCTCAGCTGGCAGAGCACAGACTGAACATGGGGGAAGCCCTGGGTTTCATCCTCAGCAGTGCCTAAACTAGATATGGTGCCCATGCCTGTAATCTCAGCACCTGAGAGCTGGCGCTAGGAGGATCAGAAGTTCAAGGTCGTTTTCAGCTACGTATCTAGTTCAAGGCCATTTTCAGCTACGTATCTAGTTCAAGGCCAGCCTGGGCTACAGGAGATCTTGTCACAAAAAGAAAAGAAGGGAAAGAAAAAAGACAAAATAGAACAGAGGAAAGTAAAAAGTAGCAAGAAGAGGGGCTGAGAACATGCCTCAGTAAAGACTGAGCCACGCACTGACAGGAACCTGAGCCCAGGTCCACAGCACTCAGAAAATGCCAGATCTCAGCCCTCACCTGCAATCCCAGCACTGGGCAGGTGGAGACAGGAGGATCCCCGGGACTTGCTGGACAGAAAATGTAGATGCATTTGTGAGCCCTGGGTTCAGTGAGAGACCCTGCCTGAAAAAATATGAAGGGCAAACCAGGAAGATACCCAGTGCTGACCTCTGGCCTTTACATGCACTTGTACATGTGTGCAGGTGCACCTACACACACACACAAGTGCATGCCTGAACATACACACACACACACACACACACACACACACACACACACACACTATCAAAAAACCTCCAATTTTGTGTGCATATGTGTGTGTGATATCAGAAAGCTCAGAAGAAAACCTTCCCCTTCCTGCCATTCAAATATTTCATTTACCAATCAATGTAAGTATTGTCAAGAGCCTTTTGTCCTAAAAGCTAATTAGTCTTAAAAAAAATATATACCAAAAAGAGACTAATATGACTCTCACTGCTAAAAATGGTGGATTGTCAGCAAATCGTTATTTGCTGAGCTTTGTCATCCTCACTCAATGTTAAAATCCTCATTATTAAGTGAGTACAATTGGTGTTCTAATTAGGAACTCACAGAGAGATCCTGATTCTCAGCTTTATTTTCCGCTCACAGCTTTGAGCATGTGGCCCTCTTGGCATTGGGGTCAGAGTGTGGACTCCCCACTGGTTTTATTTACAACCTCATCAGTTTCCACATAGCTCCAGATGGGTCCTTGGGCCTTTGTCTATCACAGTTTCCTTTCTGGAATCTGTGAGGAATGACCTAGATTTTTTTAAGTGCCGACAATCTCCCTTGAAATAGCAATGACTTCAAAGGGAGAATCCATCGTGGAGAATACAAACACAATATTTCAGCTGGGAGCCATTCTGAGATTTTTATAACTTGCCATTTAATAGGATTTTTTTTTCCCCTCCTACGTTGGTAAAGGGAAGGCATTCTGCCACAGTAAACCACTTCATTGGATCAGAGTCTAGCATCACATAGCTAAGAAGGCGAAAATAATCTTAGCATCCATCTCACTGAGTAGATGAGCCATGAGCTTTATAAATACAACTCATGAGAACTAAGCAGCCTGTGATTGAAGATAAGACCTCTAAATCGGAATTGCAAACGCTGCTGGGTTTTCTGAGCCCTCGGTCAAATCCTTGCCACCACACCAACCCTCCCATACTGATCTTAGAGCAAAAACCTCATTTCTAAATTGCTTCTGCAAGTGTGACCTTTTTTTTTAAAGTAGTTTCTGGAAATTTCTTATCAGAGTCAGGCTGTTTCAGGGACTTTTCTAACTAACAGTACAATATACCCTTAAAACATCAAATTTATAGACTATCACTTTTTTAATCTTATCTACACAACGAGGCTGGGAATAGGCCCTTGAATTCATTATGCTTTTCAAATTAAATTTGAATCGATGAATTTCTCATGCATGCTGAACGAAACAATTAGTTCCATAATGGTTATTTGTTAAGTGTTTGCTGTGTGCTCACTGAAAACCACAAAAGGCCAGGTTGTTCTTGGCTTGTGCATAAGATTTTTTTTTTTTAAATGAAAGCTTAAGATGTAAAGACACTGAATAGGAAAAAAAAAAAAACTATGCCTCATTGGAAACTCAAGCTCACTGTTTGTATACAAAACTACTCAGAATTTGGACCATCTTCAGTAATAGGTGCCTTCAAATTGTATTTAGTATCTTGCATAGATTTTAATATTTCTAACAGACTCATCACAGGACAAAGCAGTCTCCAGCATTTGACCCTATGCCTGGGGCTGCTACAACACACTTCCCCTGTCCAACTTTCTCCTCGGCTTGGCAATTACCTCATCCCCTCTGTTGGCTTGGCTTGGGCTCAGCCCGGTGTACATGTGCGCCCTCTCCAGTTGACTGTGTGTAGGCAGCCGACCTACCCCAATTTGACTTTCATCCTCCTCTGAAGTCTGCAGCCTCCACTGTTCTCTCTGTGACCTCTAGCCTTCTGCCACGGACTGTCGGAGACAAAACTGGAAAACAAAGGAACACGTGTTTTGGATGACAGAAGCAGCACCAGAAATCACTAGTGTGCACTCCTGTTCTATAGTATCCCCCTACTCTGTAAGTTCTGGAGGATGACCTCTGACAGCATTTTAAATGAGTGGATTTATCAATTATATGGTAAGCAAAGGTAAAAATAAATAAATGTGTGATTGTCAACTTGCAGAGAGAAACGGCAGACAAACAGCAAAAATGTCACCCAATCAGGTGCTCAAAACATCGCACAGAGATGGCTGCAACAGCCCAATTAAGAGAGCGTCATAAAAACAGGGACACATAAACATCCAGAAGATGGACGGGGAGGGCCTAGTTCCCAGTAGTTCCCAGTCCAGAGTCCTGAGCAGAACAGAGTGTCGCCTTGGGTGAGGCTTCCAAGTAAAAGAACAAATAACAAAAGGAAGGTGACATCATCAATCAGGCACTATCAGTTGCCCCAGAAACTGGCTGCAGCTGCTGGAGTTCCCCACTGAGGACAGGGTCGGGGCAGAGGGTCCTCTGTCCTTTTCGTGGATGATTTTCCTTCTTTTCTTACTCGCTGTAGGCATGTTTATATTATGGGGTTAAAAAATACTAATCTCATTTTGAATAATTTACCTTTTAGTTGTTCTTCTGGGATGTGTTATTGTTCTTCCTTCTCCATGTTACAGAGTTGGGGGCATGCCATCCACACAAGACATCTTGAGAACATTAGAAATAAACATGATGGGGTCTGGGACAAGAGAGCCTTCCACACTTTCACAGTCCACTCTAAACAAACTTCAACAGCACAGGACAGTTTACCAATGTAATGTATATTACATCCCCAAACCACATTCCCCTCCCAGCTAAATTAATGATGTATAAACTGAACCACAGAATTGGGTGGAGCTTAATAGTCAAAGGATGCTACCTTGAGCCTCTGCAACAGTGTAGCACAACCCAGTCACAGCAGAAATCTATCCGTTATATAAGGAATATATAATTTCCTTATATGCTTGGAATAATTGTTTTGTATACTGTGAAGACCTATTGTTCTTGTTGTTAATAAAAAGCCGATTGCCGACAGCTTAGTCTTGTCTCCAGCCAGCTCTTACAACTTGAATTAACCCATTTCTATTAATCTGTGTGCTGCCCAAGGCTCATTGACCTCATCTATGAACTTCCCATGTTGCTTCTTCAGCATCTGGCTCACAACTCTTCAGACTCTGCCCTTCTTCCCAGCCTTCTCTCTGCCCCCCAAATCCTGCCTAGCTATTGGCCAATCAGCGTTTTATTAACAATGACAGCAACAGATCTTCACAGTGTACAGAAGGATTATTCCACAGCATTTCTCCCTTTTTGTCTGATTAAAAAGTAAGGTTTTTTAACTTTAACATAATAAAATTATATACAACAAAAACAGTTATCCAGTAAGAATTACAGTTACAATATCTAGTCCATTTGTATTTGGCAAAATTAGAGAAAATATTCCATTATTTATCTTTTTGTGAGTCTAAAGTTTTATATGTAATTTACCTTCTATCATATCTAAAGAAAACTTTAAGTCTTATTATTTAGTCTTTAATTTCCTCAGTGACCCCAGAAGGGTATAATGTTACCTAACAACAGAGACATCTGGTTGCCTGGACAGTCAGCAAAGTTCTTCTGCAACACTGGAATTATCCAACTGTGACCTACAGGCCTAGCATATTGGACAGACATTTTTGAGAAGCAGGAATTTTGAAGGACTGACCAACCTTGTCTTGGCAAAGTTTGGCAGTCACTTTTCTTTACATCCTGCTGGTCTAGTTTGGACAGTATACTGTCAGCAATTAAAGCAAGGGTAGTTTCTTGCCCAAATGGCTATCTTTTGCCATAAAGAAAACAAACTCCATATAGAATTTCTTTGATGACCATCATCCTTTTTGAAGTAGATTGGTGTTGTCAGGAGCAGATGTGTCTCATTGCCATGAAAAGCCTTAGGTTATTAAGCATATTAAATGCCATATTATGTAGATCTTTGAAGTGTTTGAAGACCATCTATCTATCTAAATATATCTTGTATGACCTTGAAAATATACCTAACATGACCATAAATTTGACAATTATAGATAACTATTAATCTGTATTTCTTAATTGTACATTATATTTTTAAATGAGCTGCATAAACACAATACCTTAAACAAGAGTAGAAACATACACACAGTATAACAAAATTAACTTTAAATTTGTATCAATAAATCAAAATCCATACCAATGTAAAATATTTTGAGATTAATAGCTGTTTTTTGGATTAAAGTAGATTCAATAATCTACCCTTTTATCCTATCATTTCCATATCATATCCCCCTTTTTTCCTTTAGAAAAGGATCTTTGAATTTAATTAATTCAACTCTTTTGGTTAGGTTTCTTTTTTAACTATAAGTTATAACAATTTGTAACCAACCTTCCTTAAATAATAACAAACATTCATAACCAATCTTTTGGGAATGTGGGTACTGTTTTCTTTAGACTGCTTCCTGTTGTTTGCAGGGGCTGGAATCTTTGAGAGACCCTGAGAAAGTTAAGAATAATAGTTAAATCTTAGCTAGAGTAGTTTATGAGGCTAGACCATCTTAGCCAGCAGCTTTGAAGCTGTTTTGGATGCAGAATTCTGAGGAGACTGTAACAGAGGCATTTTGAGATGGTGGATCATTGGGGCTATCTGGCTTTGTGTGTGTGTGTGTGTGTGTGTGTGTGTGTGTGTGTGTGTGTGTGTGTATGTGTGTGTGTTTCTGGTCTCCTTGTTCTGAAAATACATACACTTTTAAAGGTAACATACATTACAAGTATGGATGTGTAGCATGTACAAGTCAGTTAAAGATGATTTTTTGTTTTATGTTTAAGCGGGTAAGATATATGTTATGTGTTTTGTAGGTTTTTTTAGGTTTAGTTTTTTATATTTGTAGTCAATATTTTCAGGGTGTCTTCCTCAATCAAACCCGATCCATAACAACCTGGAGCAAATCCACAGCCTCTCATTTCCTGTGAAAATAAAAGCAAAACCTTTTCCCCAAAGTAACATTTTTTTTACTTCTTTTTTAAAGTCAAGACATTTTAAAAATATATAGGTTGGTTTAATCCAGCATTTATAATTAACATTAAGTTTCTGTGTGGTCTTTTGGGAACTGACTGGCAGGGCAGAAGAACTCTACCTACAAAGGATCCTGTGGCTACCATCTTGAAATGCAAAATGACATCATCCACATTTGTTTTATGTCAATACAATAAATATCAATGCAGACTGAACAGCTCAAAACAAACATAGGACCCACATTGCATGGGCCAGAATTTCACGTGAGCTTAACTGATGCTTTTATTCAATGACTCGGGGGAGGGGGGCGGTTAAGATCATGTTCTCATCTGGAGAAGAAACTGCCTCCAACTGACTGGGGGTGTTGACTTAACCAGGTTGCTTGTCTCATGCTGCATTCCAATTTCCACCGCACCCCAACCCCAGCAACTAAAGGCCACTTGTATACCTGAGTCTTCAAACCATTGAGTCCTTACTGCTTCTGTCCCTGCCTTCACCTCCCATTGCCAGTGAGAACCTTGTCTCTACCTAAAGTCTCCTGTGCTTAGGGTAGACTACCTCCAACAGAAAAACTCCTGTTCTATAGTCCATATGCTCAATTACATCTACAAAGTCCTCTAAGCTCTTTAGTATAACATCCTCAGAGGCCAGTCTGCCCATATTGTACAGCTCTATCCTCTGAGCTGAACATCTGCGGTCTTCAGGAGTCCAGCTGTAGCTGCTTGCAAGAGATCATCCTAGATGGGCTTGTTGGCTGTTGATGCTCCTTCATAGAAGAAGAGGTGGGGGTTATGCGACCCTCACCTGAGTATCCAGCCACACTCTTTCCAATCAGTTGTATGCAACTTTGCACAATTGCGTGTGACCTTGGGGATCTTAGGGAGGAACTAGAGTATCTAGGGTGGGAAGGAATGTGGGAGGAGGTGTGGTTATGATAAATCCATCATCTGTGTTGGGTAAAGGCTTTCCAGTACAGCTGTTTTGGGAGTCACTAATACTGTAAAGGATCCCTCACCCATGATCTATAAGTAAGCCCAGTAAACTCGTTCATTTCATGGGGTAACTTTTGTGAGATCAAATGTTTGTTTGTCCTTGGGACCTTAAAAGATGAATAAATGTTGTCCAGTCCCCTTATAGGGTAGCTGAAAATGAAACAAGTTACTTGGAAGGTGCTTAGAACGGAGTCTAGAAAGGACTGTATATGTGCCTGTGGAATGTATGCATTAATGAATGAATGAAATTCTGATCATACTTGACAGATTCATAACATAAATGATTTGGCTGTATCCTAATATTCATTCATTCACTCATTCATTCATTAGTATCATGTATACTAGTCTGGCCTAAAAATCCTTATGCCAAGGATGACCTTGAACTTCTGATCTCCCGGCCTCTACTTCCTGAGTGTTAGGATAACAGGTATGGACCACCACACCCAGTTTATGCAGTGCTGGGAATTGAACCCCCAGTTTCATGCATGCTAGTCAAGCACCCTACCAACTGAGCTACATCCCCAGGCCCCTACATTATGTTACTTATTGACAAATTGGCAGGTAGGACCTGCAGAAAATCTATGGTAGCACGTTTGTTTAGTTATCACTTGTCATAGACAACGGTATTGATACTTAGAGTATCCCAATCATTTGAAAGAATGCTAAGAAGACGGCTAGGGTTCCTTTAAGACCAATTTAAGTAAATCAATGTCCCACGTAGCGAGGGTGGTGCTATTCCACAGTCCCTACTGCCCTTGCTCTTGCAACCCTAGAAAAGGGAATGCAGGCTGTTTTCAACACTTCCTGATGGTTTTTGATCTCCATATTTCCATCGCAGCTCCTTTGCAGTACTCAGGATAGAGGCAAGGAATAGAGGATCATAAGCATTCAGGAATGTTCCAAGTTCAAAGGGCTTTCATCTCTGGAATGAGCAGCATGAAACAGTGGATTTGGATCTTGCCTTTGCTAGTCACTGGCTACTTAGGGTTGGAAAATTCCCACCATCCTGATACAAAATCATCATTAGTAATAAATGCCTTTAGCTGCTGTTGGCATTATGATCAAACTAAAGGACCTGGTGGTGCCTGGTACAGGAAATGCACACACAGAAAATGGATGCCACTAGGGCACATTATTCCTAGAGATGGCACATAAAATACAAAACATTGGTTAAATGTCAATTTCAGATAAACAACAGATGTTTTCATATTAGTAGCTCCCAAATATTACATGGGACAGAATTTGTATTAAAACATGACTTTCATTTGCTAAATACTGCAGCTGTGGTCCTTTAATTGGATCTTTAATGAAGCCCCCGAGAAGACGTACAGGTTAGCAA